CTGAATGACATGTTGCCTGCGTACCCTCCTTCATAATGCTGCTTTCAGTGAAGAGTGCGCAATGTCATCCTGATACTGAATGCTCTAGCTTTCTCTCTCTCACACACACAGCAGACATTATTAATTAATAACACATTTGAGTTGAATTAAGAATGCACTTAGCCCAAAGACATTTTCAACTGTAGATTTTTTTTTTTTATTCAGTCGAAAATTTTATTTTTAGCTCTTACAAAAATTACTGAGGTCCCGTCCTCAGTGACCTCATATCTGGCTATGGCCCTGATTGGGAGTGCTCCCCAGACGAAGATGTATCCATTTAGAATTAGAATTAGAATTAGAATTAGAAGCTTTATTTGTCATTGCATAAAATACGTAGTATTAAACACAACGAAATTTAGAGTTGCCACTCTTAGTCAAAAAGATTGATCGCAATCTTACCAGCGACTTTCATGTTCATTTTTAAAGGGCCCGCTTGCTTGCTCTGTATGTCTTCCCAGCAGCCCTTGTGCCCTCTGAAGCTGTCCAATAGCGTTATACCACCGGGGCAGCTGGGAGATGTAGTACATTTTCAGACTTATGGCTAATACTGCGTTCGATTATCTCTCTCCAAGTCGGAACTCAGATAAAAACATCATGAAAAACATCACTTCCTATCAGAAGCACTCCTACTTTATCGAGATATTATCAAGAAGAGTTGCAGCGCACGACTTGGTGGCAACTCCAGTCTGTACCAGGAACTGAGAAGGACAGCTGTGAGGGCTCTGAGGCTTGCTGGAGAAATACCAATCCTATCAGAGGACTGCTTCTGATCTCAAGAAGTCAGCATCGTCTGATTCACGAGTCTAAGGAAAGGTTAAATGTTCATTGATTTAAAATGAGTAAGTCCCAGAACTAAGACTTCATTTGTCAGATTAAAGCTCTGTTATTAAAGAAGGAAGCACGTGAACATGAAAAGAGTTCACCAAACCAGACCCCTTCTGCAACTCTACTCTTCTGCTTCCCACATACTTGCGAGGTGAGGCGGTCAGGCGACGTCACAGTGGTTCGATGGCCCAGCTATGTGTAAGAGGCCCACTGTTTCCAGGGGGCATATCAGAAGTACTGATGGTAGCTGGCCGCTGTCCTGGAGACGAATGGGGCATAGTGCAGCAGGAGTGCTTAATGCACCCTGAGAGTCGTTGTTCATGCCCGTCACAAGTCACTATGATTACTCAGGGTGGGGGACACTGCAGGAGGGTCTGGTGTCTTTGTTGTAAGTGCTTGTGTTAATGATGAGCTAGCATTTAACATGCTCCCCTGTCCTCCGTCATCCATGCCTTTTGTAAACAGCGGCATCTGGTTTATTCTTCTGCTTATTTACCTCAGTGAGATTTTAACCTTTTTTCCTGGGTGAGACGTTTCTCCCAGTCAGAGTCACCATAAATGAATATCCCTACAATCACGGCTCACAAACTTGTCTCAGAATGACAGCATGCTGTGTCAGAGGTCAGTCCCACATGCTCATTTGCAGGCAGAACCCTCTTTACCAGCCTAGGTTCTTCCTTTAACATCATTGCTTTCCTCTGCCTGTTTTGTCCACATTAGCTGTTTCTCTAGGCTTAAACAGATTTTAAATGCCTGTGCTCCGATCTGTTGATATTACTAAAGCCCCTGGTTTGCAGTCCAGTGAGGCAATGAAGGAATGAAACCAGTGTCCTGATCCACAGTCATACCGCTCCCTCTCGCATTTGCCATGGTCGCCGCTGTTTATGCCCAAAATGGACAGTTGAAGGCTTTCTAATTTTAGAAGCTGAACTCTTTCTTGGAATGCATCTGGGGTTCTTTGGCTTGGCCAGCTTCTGCCAACAGACAATTATGTAACGAAAACTGGCTTAGTAAGTAACATTTTTTAGCATGTTTGGAGGACGTATAACAGGTCTGAGTTTCTTCTCGCAGAAGAGGAAGGTGGCCCTGTCCTTGCTGCTGTCCTTCTGCTGCAGTTCAGCAGGGACCATCGTGACAATTTCCCTGCTTCCCATTTCCAGCATGTGCTGTCTGCTGTAGAAATAGTGTGTTCACAGCTGCAATTATGGAGACCTGCGGTGACCTCATCTGCTGCTCCACCCTGGGGCCACTGTCACTATTTTCCCTCAACTTGGGAGCACTTTTGAGTTTTGTTTTGCCTGTTTTTCAAGCCCCCCCCTCAAGCTGAAGATGTATGTGGACACAGATAGGCTTCCAGGTTTCCAGCTCCGAGCTCCTCCATGCTGACAGGAGAGTATCTCTAGCTGTGAGTCTGCCCACTCCTTTATGTAGTTTCATCGTTCTTTTCTGCATGCTTTAAGAATTTAGTTCCCTGATCAAAATCTGAATGTCTCTGACTTGGAAGCTGCAATGTGCTCAAGTGGTGGAGGACATGCATAGACATCCACCAAGTAGCTAACTGCACCGGCCATATTGAATTCAGTGAAAGACATCTAGCCGGAACCTCATTTGCACAGAAACTCTGCAGTCTGTGCTGAAACTTTGTAGTTGATGGGATTAAATCGCTTCTTATTATCGGTCGAGCATGATGCTGTGTCCAGCAGCCTGAAGCAGCAGACAGACCCAGTTGATGTGTAAACCTTTGCTCTAGCCAAGGCCAGGGGCTCAGGATTGATATCTGTAAGCTCCTGCTTTCTCCTTTCTACGGTCACAGTCCTGGCTTAACTGTGCACAGTCACTCTCATTGTGGTTCAAGTTCACAAAGTCACATTTTTAAGGTACTGACAAATCCATCTCCATGGCCTGAGGAATGACTCCACGCAGCGAAGAAGAATCAGCTTGAGTCTCTTTGGCTTAAATGTAGGCCTCACAGCTGTGGGGTCGTCTGTTCACCAGCGGGGCATTCCTGGTTCCCCACCAGCTCTGCACTGCATTTAATTCGTGGCCCAGCCTACATCTTTGCTGGACCATTTCGTTCTTCAGCACCTCCCCCATGGCAGGGCGTGGCATTGCCCGTCAGCTGTGTAGTCACCTCCCTGCTGTCTGGGGTGCCTTTCCCTGGCTCTCTCCACACAGCAGATGTTTCCACAGTGACGTGCTGCATGGCAGCCTCTGTTTCCACCGTGGGCTTCTATTAAGAAGGTGGCCCCACCCCACCCAGTTTACGACCTGCTCAGTCAGGGGTGACGCTGTGTCTCTCCTCGCCTGAGAGCTTGTCACCCATGAAAGCAACGTGGATGGGAAACAGATCACGAATCTGCAAAACAGCTTGTCAGATCTCCTTAAATGGAAAGTTTTCAGTTTAGTTCCTGGCTTAGCTCTGTCATGTTGTCTGTATGTGTCGTGTGATTGCAGTCATTGTCAGCTGCCATTGTTTTCTTTTCTCCTATATTTAGACATATACCTTTATCTTTTGTGGCTACATTGACTGCTGACTGAATGTGCATTGCTTGTTATGTGGAGCACCTACATGTCTCTCCTACAGGTGTATCCTAGGCTGAGCGTCTACATTTCAAAGGTTTTAGTTTTTAACAGTACTCAAAAATCTGGAATCAGTGTGACCCAAAGACACAAACCAAGAGACTGGAAGATGGTAGAGGGAGCATGAGATTTTGCCAACTCTTTAATTTGCATTAATGTTCAATCAACCCCCCCCCCTACACACACACATACAAACACACACACACACAAACTAAACAATAGCAATTCAGTGACTCATTGCAGAACCCCAGGTGTGCACTTTAGCTGCGTGAATGAAGTGCGATTGAAGCTGACACAAACCTCATTATCACGTTTGAAAAAACTTTTCCTTGACCATGAGCACATGTTGCGTGTGATGTTAGACATGTGGCTGAAAATGTTGAGAGATTGCAATCAATAAGCCGCTTTGGATATTAGTCAGCGGGGGCTCTTAGTCAGACCCAGATTCCATCGTTGCTGCCCACAACATCCTGCCATAGCATTTCAGCCTGTCTTCTCCATGTTGTCTCGTCTAACTACAGCCTTCTGAAGGCCCTGTTTATGCCCCACTTGCTTCTATAATGTTCTTTACCAGGGCTGCCCAAACAGTCAATCGCGATCTACCAGTCGATCTCGGAGTAATTCTCAATCGATGGCGAAGTGCGTTGCATGCGTGCGCCCATTTTTCAGTGTGCAACTAATCGTAACATTTACTGTAACATTTAGCACGCAAACATGTCAGAAGCCAAAAGATAAAAAAAAAAAAAGTATCATTTTCATTCAGAGTGGGAAGAGGATTATTTTTTTGTTTACTCAAAATCGAAGTCCATATGTCTTGTATGCAATGCAAGCGTGGCTTTACCGAAGAAGGGCAATTTGGAGCAGCATTTCAAAACGATGCACAAAAGCTACGAGACCGAGTTCCCTGCTAAAACAGCCATACGCAGCCGAAAAGTGCGAGAACTGAAAAGTCTGTTAGCAGCACAGCAGTCAATTTTTACCTGCATCGTCCCGGTGCCAGCAGTCCCACTAAGGTAGAGAAATGCATTTATTTACACTTTTTCAATTTGGAGAATTACCTGGATTTGTCTGGTTTTGCTGTGTGCTTGTTAACTATGTATAAAGGCAATAGCTAGAGTAATAATTGAGTAAAAGAGCTATGGCTCCCTATTTGAACTGGTAGATCTCGGCACACTGGCCACTTGAAAAGTAGATCTTGAGTTAAAAAAGGTTGGGCACCCCTGCTCTATGCAATATGCTACATCCAGCATGCCACTCTTTTCCTATGGATGTGTCCCTTGTGCCCTTCAGAGGAAGCGTGGATTCCCAGAATGTCCCTTAGTTGAATTTGTAGTTTTCTGCTCCTCACAGATTGATGGCTTTCTGGGGCAGTCAGCTGAGGGTTGTTTAAAGAGGATGCTGCAGGTTAACTCTTTGTTTGCTACTTAAAGGAATGCTTGTCGTGTTGTTGTTGATGTTTTCATCGGGTAATGGTTTGTCATCCCTAGGAAAATTGTCCAAACTACATGTAGCGATTCCTGTTCTTTTCTTAAATTTTGCATTTGTTTTCCTCTCAGGGCATTTGATTTACCACAGCAACACAAAGAAACGTGGCTGGTAATGACATCTATCAGTGGTGGTTCTGGTTTGAGAAAATGCCTTTGCAACATGGACTCCACAGTGAGGTAGGCATGTGTTCATCTATACCTGTGTGCTCATCTTTTCTTTACTTGTTTAGTCTGTGTGTGTGTGTGTGTGTGTGTGTGTGTGTGTGTGTGAGAGAGAGAGAGAGAGGATTTGCCTCACTGTGCATCTCTGTGTATGTGTCTCAATCTGTGTCTGTGTCTGTCCTTTGTTAATCCACCCACCTTCCCTCCATTTCCCACCCTTTCAGATCCTAATTTCTGATAACCCCTCCAACCCCACCAGCCCCCACAATGCAGACAAACTAGCTGGTAGCTAGTACGGCTCATTCTTGATTAATGCTGCTATTGGCTGGGCTGCTGAAAAAGTGGTCTTTAGTGAACCACCCATTGGAAGAGTAAAAATGACACTCTGTTCGACATTGGTGGTGAGGGGGTGTGTGTGCCATCACAGTGATGTCACCCTGGTCCGTAGAGCCAGTAATTTCACTAAACACATTTTATTTCCAACTGAGGACATCTGTTTGTGTGTGTGCGTGTGTGTGTGTGTGAGATCATTTGATGTGGTGTGTCTGGCTGAATAAAAAGGGAGTGTCATCATATTAGTATTTTAAATTTAAGTTAATCTGAAGTAGCTTTTTTATTACGTAAATAATGGTTCCATTATTAAGCGTATCTCAAGGCTGTTTTGAATCGCTCCTTTGTGTTGGAAGTGCCACCCAAGCTCTTTTGGGGGAATTAGAGAAGTGTGATACAGCTGGGTTGGACCGACTGGGTGTATTTGGCTTCCCCCAGGCGCGTCTGTGTCTGGGCGGGAATCTGCTGACTAAAACAGATCGCCTTCGTGTTGAACACAAACTAACCCTCGACCCGTGGCTACAGACAAACTGGAGCAATCAGCGGGTTTCCTGTCACGTAATTGTGCCGTCCAAATTGGTCGTTTTGGCTGTCTGCCAGCTTGATTAAAACCCTGGATAAATCATGATATGCGAAGTGATGCTTACACAAGCCCCTCTGGAGTGGGAGGAGCTCACCCCCCCACCCCACCCCCTAATGCATCTTGTCGCTAAAAGGGCCGGAATGAGTCTGACCTTAATTTACGTTAATTTGCTGGTGAATTCCTTGCATTTGTTTTTGCCCTGGTGAGAAAGTGCAGGGCGTCTCGGGTGCCACTGCCATGGATCTGCAGATGGCGGGGCAGGCTTTGCTAAATTGCACCCATATGCTCACAAGCTGAGCCGCTCTCCATGCCAGACTTCAAGCAGGACTTGGCCTGTGAGCAGCTCTAAAATATTTCACACTGCCCTGGTAGCCCCTCTCTGGCTGCGGCTTAGGGGGCCCGAACACACACAGGCACAGTGCAGCCATGTGACTGGTGCCACTCACTCTCCTGGACTCTCCCATGTCAGATACTGCAGCTCAGCCCATTCTCAGGCACCATATATATAAAAAATGGAATAAGCTCATCACTCCAGGGTATGACACCCGTCCCTCCCTTAATGAGATAGGGAATGTTTCTCTATTTGGAATATTTACAGTGGAAAAAAGAGGTCAGATTTGAAGCAGATTGCAGCCCCAAGTCTGGCAGCTTCACCAAAGCTCTGTCCACTGCTTTCTCTGTGCCTTGATGGGGAGCTGTGTGTGTCAAGCTCCCCAAGGTCATTAGGGGGAGATGTGGAGGGGTGAAATGAGGGGCGCTGACCATAGCAGCCTCTGCTCCTTTTACGGCCTGCCTGGGAAACCTTTGGGTGTCTCTCACAACAAGGTTACCTTAACCATATTAATTAAACCAGGGGTGGGGGGACCTCTAGAAACTTTAAGGATTTAACAAAGAAACAACAGTTTAGCAACCCGCACATTGTGCACAGCTTCCAAATGAGTGCTTCCTGACCACATTTAAAAGGAACTGCAATCTGCTTCAAATCTGACCTCTTTTTTTTCCACTGTAAATATTCCAAATAGAGAAACACATCTTTTTAATCTGACACTATTTCAGGTAGGAATGCTGTAAAATACCCTGGTGAATCACATGGTGTCTGATTCAGTCAGGCAGAATTAACAAGAATAAAGTAATTAGGAAATCTCAAATTATGTTGCTCTAATCAAAAGATACTTTAAATGTATCTAAATATAGCTTGGGATTTTATTAGATTCTATAAACAGAAGATTGGGAAACTTTTGCCTTCACTAAATACAGTGTAAATTAGTATCTTGTTGTTGAGTGTAAGTTTTTATCCAGATGGCTTTAACTTGTTTAATGAGATAGGGAATGTTAGATGGGGAAATTTGCCAGTCACCAAGGCCAGCATCCCCTGGGAAGCTGAACCAGCAACCTTCAGGTTCCCAGTCCCTAACCAGCAGCCTCTAGGTTCCCAGTCCATAACCCTTTGGCTGCCTGCATTACACCGGAGACAGGCTGACTTCTCACTGGAGGACCCAAACACCATATGAACTGTGACTTTACATCATTCTGAGGTTTGGATCAGTTTTGGATTTTTTCCAGAGATGGATCATTCTGCCGAAATGGAGGAAGTGAAATTGAATTGGTGGAATGCTGTAGTGTCTAATTCCTGGTTGGTCCGGTGTGTGTGTGTGTGTGTGTGTGTGTGTGTGTGTGTGTGTGTGTGTATATATATATATATATATACACACACACACACACAGTGGCCCATTATCAGCAACAAGTAGTCCTGTGTTCCAGTGGAATGTTGTGTTTGCTAATGCAAGTTTATCATTTTAAAGGTTAGTTGATCATTACAAAACCCTGTGTGGGTTCGTTTACATATGCATTCTACAACAAGAATGGGAAAGGGCGGTTGGGGAAATGAGGCTTGGGGTGATAATGTTCTTATAATCAGACTTATTCTAAAAATCTGCAAGTATTTCCATGGAATGGACTTAGCTCATGTTATTTCTAGCTGAAAAGGTTACTTCCTGGTCACATGTTTCATTGGCCTGTTGTGACAGATGTGTGGGTGTGGCAACTTGTAACAGGTTCATGTCAAGACAGGGTGGGGCACCAACCTATCACAGGGAACACATGCCTGTAGGCAATTTGGTAACACCAGTTTATTTCAGCGTGGTTTTCCTCAGTGGGAGGAAAACGGAGAACCCAGAAGAAATCCCACAATGACGCAGAGAGAACATGCAAACTCCACATATGCAGAGTCAGGGCAGAGACTCAAACTGTGATCTCACGGGTGAGAGACAACAGTGCTGATCACTCTGGCACCATGCAAAGTCTGGATGAGTATGAAAAAAAAAAAGAAAGTATGGAAATATTTTGGTGTTTCCAGACTATTGCAACAAATCAGCCTATAATGTATTCTGAACAAAACATCTGAGTTTATTTATTGTTTTTGACTACATCACCAATGTGACCTGGTTGTCACATTGTGCATAAGGTGCACATTGAAGAGTCGTTTGGACCCATGTCAGCTTGGCACTGCCACTGCAGCCTTCTGCTATGTGGGTGGTGTCCATGGTAAAGTTATAAAGGTGCATGTAGAGTGAAGATGCTGTCGGCTGTGTCTGTGAGTGTTCACTGTTGATCCCCGGGGCCTGAGTTCAGCCACAAAGGCACAAACTGGCACTTCACCTCACTTGGATTCAGGAGAAAACCACCTACTTCAGATAAACGTTCCTCAAAACCACACAGCCTCTCTCAGTGTCTGGAGGGCAGCCCAGGCATGTGTGCATGTTGGATCCATGCCACATGAGCTCCCGTTTATCACATGGCTCTGCTGATGCAGGCTGTTCCTTGCCTGCCGTGCTACTTTGGAGGGGGCTGTGAAACGAGATCCCAGATGTGTATGTGCCCCGCTCAGCCCCCCCAAATCCTAAGCGCAGAGGCCCCTTGGGTTACGTGACCTGTGAATTTGCTGCTCAAAGGCCCAGCTCCCCCCCCCCAGGCTTGTGGGAGGTGTCATACAGCAAGCCACAGACAAAACAAGCTCAGGTTGATGTTTTGGTCTGCCATCGGAATGTAAATGCCGTTGCGTAACACTTGTTTTGTGGATCTGGCGAAGCGGAGCCCGGTCTGAACACACCGAGAGTAATGGTTGCAGTAGCACAGAGTCGTGTTCCTTGGAGTCGCAGCAAGGCTGAGCTGTCTGGTGCAAGGTGACGGGCCATCCCAGCCGCATCCACATCCCCCCCCCACAGAGGCTGGCACACTGGGCCCCCACACTGCTGGCAAGAACAATGGTCCTTGGGCATAGAGGGAGAGGAGGAGAAGAGAGCGGGGAGAGGGTGGAAGCAGAGGGGGCACTCACTCTTCTTATGCTAATCTAGCCAGGACGATTCGAACAGCAGTGAGACAGACAATGGGATCCAGGCCAGGGGAAGGGGGGTGGCACACTGCACTTATTACAGGCTGGGGTGTGGGGCCAAGGCTGCTGTGTGTGTTTGCGTGTGTGTGACTGGGGTGGATTTGGGGGCTGTGTGGGGGATGCTCTGGTCAACATATGTGTAAAAGAAAGATATTTCTCACAGATAATGATATACACAGTATATGTGTGTGTCATCAATAGTAAACCCTGACAGGTTAAATGTTTTTTAAAGCTTATTTTAAAACTACCCTAAAAGTACCATGTAATTTGTAAGGTGCTTTACTATGTTTTTGTTTTCTGTTGGTATGCAGTCAAGTGTCATGTATGATATTAGGGTGAGATTCAGTGTGAAGTCCCTACAGGAAGACCCCCCCCCCCAAACATAGTGTAAGAGCAGATGTAACACATTCCACATGTGGTGATAGCCCCCTCATTACCGTTTGTTTCCGCTGAGAGAAGTGCCGCGTGACTCATTTCCCTATGCGTACAAGTTATCTTAGATCGGCGTTCACGGTTCGACTTCTGAGATTCAGATCAAGTTCTAGGTAATTTTTTTTCTAACTGGTTGGTTCGACTTTTAAGAAATTCGAGTTTTAATGAGTTCGAAAACTGAGGTACCGCTGTATATTTTCAATTTAAAGTACTACCTCTGTTTTTGCATGAGTGCTACAGTACATGTGTTCTCCAAGACAATCATAATCATTTTCATCCTTGCTGTTCAAATCACTCCTAGACAGGTTCATGAGAAATTTATGTTGAACTCCTTTTTTGTTTCATAAATACCCCAATATTTATTATAACAAAATCACATTGCAATATTTGAAAAATTCACAATACTGTGCTATCATAGTATATTATACAAAATACTTTATTTCTTGTTATGCTATCCTGATTTTATTGTATCTGTTCTTCCAACCAGATCACAATTAAAGCTTGTGTTACTTCATTTGTCCATTATTATATATATATTTTTTTTTCGTCCGTAAAGTAATGGGTCTACCAGAAAAAGCCCAATACTAACAAGCTAAAAGGAGCCACATCGACACCTATAGTAATGGAGTAGGACAGTCATTAGATCGATTACCCTCCTGTGCATGTATACTGAGACAAGGACAGCAGTCTGATTAAATGGCGTAGTCGGAATTGAGGTGAAAAGAAGTGCTACACTGGAAGAGGCTAACGAGGGTAATTGCTCAATATCACAGAACAAATAATTTGAATATGTTGTTCCATTCAAGAATAGCACTGGGCTGACAGGTTGGGCTGGGTTTGGGGGGGTCGAGCCCACAGAACACACGAAACACAGAGAGATAGAAAGATACTCTGCCTGTCGTCAAATGGATACTATAAGTATGACATAGTCGTGGATCCTATGTTGTAGCCTATGCATAGCCTGACATGCACCTCCCCGGAAATGACACTGCACTTTGCGGCAATGCAGATCGCAAGAACTGTGATTGGTCCACTTGGTAGCATTCATTTTTTTATGGGAATGAAGAATGCGTACATCCCCGGGCTACTTATATTGCTGATTGAAACTATGGCGTTATTTATATCTGGCATTAAATAATAGGCATCGTAGGAACAAGTCTGCAAAACACTCAGGATGACAGCGTCAATTTTATTTACCTCCATTAAGTTTATTCGTACTTTACAAGACTACAAACATAATTAAAAGTAGTATTGAATATATTGAATAAAATGCAATTGAATGTATCGTGGGGATGGGGGGGGGACAAAAAGTGCAACATCCAGAACTATGTATCACCTAGCATTTTGGCAATGTAATTGCTGAGTGACACAGACACATCAGTGCACAAGTAAAATGCTTGCAAAGGCATAGGTCACTTGCATAGATCACTGTGTAGGCTACACGCATAAGTATAAATCAGCCTTTTATCTGCCCACTTTTGAGCTGTTTTAAATTTCATTCTTTAATTGTCCAATTACAATCGAAGGGGGGCAGCAGTGGTGGTGTGGGGGAGAGTTGTAATTGAGCTTGAATGGCGTGTATGACAATACTCCAACATGCAGTGCGAGGGACGTGATGCTGAGCGCGCAGGCCTGCGATATAAAAGCCTGCCGCATCTTGGACGTGGTCTCCAGTCACGATAGTCATGGCCACCTGATTCTCAGGCACACCTTCCACAGGGCCGCCACCACAGTGTGCCTGTTCACAGCAGGTTTCGTCGGCCCTTCTTTTCAACCCTGTTCAGTTGCTTTGAACAATTTAAAAAGTCAGACACAGTAATGTATTTCCATCAGTGAGGTGTTTGTTTATTTATTTATTTATTTTATTTTAATCAACCGTAATAACTACCCTGGTCCATACAGACGCTTTATTCGGTTTCTTAACCTTTATTTCCTGTGGGGTGAATTAATTCTGTTGACTTTTTACTTTGTGCCTTGAACTGGGAACAGTGCATGTGGAGATATGCTATTCCCGCCTTTGTTATATGGTCATGGGTTTGTGGAGTTTGGCTTTTCATCATCTTTCAAAAGGCACATTTGTTGGGTGTCAGGTGGTATGTGGCTGTGAGGCGGTATCCGGGTGTCAGACGGTATCCGGGTGTCAGACGGTATGCGGGTGTCAGACGGTATCCGGGTGTCAGACGGTATGCGGGTGTCAGACGGTATGCGGGTGTCAGACGGTATCCGGGTGTCAGACGGTATGCGGGTGTCAGACGGTATGCGGGTGTCAGACGGTATGCGGGTATCAGACGGTATGCGGGTGTCAGACGGTATGCGGGCATATTTGGTGGCCCAGATACCATGATGTTGCTTCCTCACCCTCCAGCATGTTAACCTTCTCTCTTTTTCTTTTCCTCTCCACCAGCTCTGTGGACAGCGGGAGTCTGTGAGTGAAGAGCTATAGTCTTTTGAGTGCCCCAACCCCCCAGCCCCAGGCAGCCTCCCTCGCCTACTCCCACCTCCACCTTATCGTGGCTGGCTCGTTCCACCCCGCCCTACCCTTCCATGATGGGGAGCGCTCCACTCATTGCTGTGCTGGCAGCCTGCATATTTCTCCTGCACGGGGCTGAAGGTCAGTCCCCTGCATTGAGTACTCAACTCCATCTCCTCTTTTCCTTTCCTCTGCTACTGCTCCTTCTTCTGTTCCTCCCCCCCCCCCTTTGTTGTCCTCCTCTTCCTCCAGGATCAGGTAGAGTGCCCGCAGATGACTGCCAAGGAATTCCGTGTTTGTGTGTTTCCTGAACCTTTAAATAGTTATCAGATAAACAAATACAGTGGTACCTTGGTTTGCGAGCATAATTTGTTCCGGAAACGTGCTTGTAATCCAAAGCACTCGTATATCAAACTGAATTTTCCCATAAGAAATAATGGAAACTCAGATGATTCGTTCCACAACCCAAAAATGTTCATATAAAAATGATTAATACAAAATATAAAGTAGAAATGCATAAAACAAATTAACCTGTAGTTTATCTTGAGAATTGTGGATTGTGTTAGGGACGCGGAAATGTGACATTGCGTTGTCTTTCAACATATTCATCGCTCGCACTGCTACGGCCTTATTCGGGTGGCGCTTTTCTACTAAATTTTGACTATACGAGTGAGGCACGCCAAGTAAGACCTAGCATGGGAAACAATTACCCACAATCCTGCAGCGTGGGAGAGAGAAGAACCATTGGCTCAGTTGTGATCACATGACGCTTGGCAGACAAAGTGTATACGTAATACTTGTATTGCAAGACCTCCCTCGTTTATCAAGTTAAAATTTATTAAAAAATTTTGCTCATCTTGCAAAACACTTGCAGACCAAGTTACTTGCAATCCAAGAAATATCTAAATGGTTTATAAGGAGAGTACACTTGTCATGCCTGCTTTGGTTTGCTTCTTGTCGCAAGCGGTCGGACAAAGTATTTGTCATCTTCAATGACCATTAATACGTGGCCCAGAAACATGAAACAATTTAGGGATTAGGATGAAATGGATAGTAATACACTGTAAATACAGTCGGTCCTACTACAATGTGTGACATTGCAAATATCTTCTAATGAGATTGACATACAGTATTAGTACCCAAGTACAATACAGTTGCAGAGAAAAGCACTACATAATAATAACACTGGTATACAGTGATTTTGGTGCCAACGATGTCTGAACGGTTTTATATTAAGTTTATGGTGCTGATTAAGAATATGACTTTGGTTTTGCCAGATTGGCTCTAGTTTCTGAGATATTTAATAGTTAATTAATTAATGCAACATGTTTGAAAAGCATTCAGAATTGCAAGAATATTTTTAATTTAGTTGCAACCAATAAGTAAACAGTCTAACATCATATAAAAAAGAAATTAAAGATATCTAACAGTGACAGGAAAAAGTTATGTATGATTTGATTAAATAATACAATATTAATTAGTTATTAATTCAAAAAAAGTACTGTGACTGGTTTAAAAAGACGACTAATGCACAATTCGACCTTTGTAAAAAAAGTAATCAAACTGGCAACAATGGGCTCTAAAGCCATCAACTCACATATCAGGAGAGAGAAGCACAAGCATTTTGTCGAAAATCGGACAACTGTCCCCATTCAGCTGTTTGCCAGTCCTGCAAGTACAACCTCTACAGATAGGCCTACACCTGCTTTGGCAGTGTCTCCGGATCCCACGACAAGCAATGTCTTCAGTACATTCTCCTCAACCGACACACTGAAAGCAGTTCACTTTCAGCTTAATAAAGATGTGAGGTCAGAGTTGTAATATTTACATGCGTTATAATGAATAATTACCCTTACAGGTGCATGAAATTCTCTTTATATCCTTATTGGTTCCGAATGGTGGAAGGACCTTGCAGGAGTTGAACAAGAAATGGCATGTACAAAGGTGTTGCATTGGTTATAAATAAATACATAGAGTTGTATATGTAGTGGTAGTTCAACTAATTGATTTCTCATAAACCAAAAACAACACATGGTGTCAGAATACAGTTTATTTGAAATAATGCATGCTGCCACAGATCCTTTGCCTCAGATGGATTGGGACAATTTACAAGAAGTATGGCACAAGATTAAGCAGCATGCAGAACTGATCTTCTCAGGTCTGCTGAAGACTAAAGGGGAAGATGAAAACTGCAGTTACCTTCTGCTTTGGATTGGCGAAAAGGGCAGAGATCAATGTTTACCCTAGCTTTTT